AACGAAAAAAGAAAAAATTCGTAATCAATTGAGGAAGTTATCTAATAGCCTACATAATCACATAATTAATAACGATACGTAGTGCTTAAAAGCGTACTTATGGAGCTTCATGCATTCCGCTGAGCTGAGTTTTGGCTCGGGCAATCCTTCTAGAATGTTTTTTACTTTCGTGATTCCTAATTGAATGACCTCCATTCCCGCGTCCAATTCAATCAGATCGAACATCGTCTTCTGTACTGAAAAAAAAAAAAAAAAAAAAACCCGAATAATCCAAAGATCATTGAATGTCAATAATTAGGAGGGAAAAATAAGTAAAACAATATTAAATTCATTCAAAAAAAAAAAAAACAAAAAACAATAGCAGATCGAACGAAGATTATCAGTGAAAACTTCAATAATCACAACACATAATAACTGTGAGTACAGTAAGAAAAAAAATCTCCAAGTAGCTAATTACCTGCATAAACAATACAATTATAAATGATAACGAACAAATTACTTATAGCTCGGCCATTTCGATTAATCATCCAAAAGAAGAAGAAAAATAAACCCTAAAATTCAAATATAGGCCCAAAAATTATCACCGATCCTAGCTAGGGCAGACGGCAGAAAATTCAGTACAGTACACAAAATATGAAATAAATCCTACCAAATAACACACACAAAATTCAAGCTGAAATATCAATGAATAACAATACATTATCAGTGGGGATTAATAGCAGAGATATTTGCTGTGTGTGTATATATCAGTTAGAGAAAATACCTGTAGAAGAAGAAGCAGCAGCAGAAGCAGATATAGAGAGAGAGAATATGCGTGAACGTCTCTTTCCTTTTCTTCTCTATTTATAAACTCCACAGTAACCTATCTTATTTTTTTTTTTAAATATTAATTATTTTAATGGGCCTACTAATTATTTTACTATATCGGGCCGTAATTTAAGGCCCAAAATTGAAAATGATCGGGAGACAAGTCCATTAGATTAAGGGCTCGAGCGCATTATATTGATTAAAGATCGAATTAAAGTAATACTCTAAATTTAACTAGAGTTATACCACTGATTAAAGTATAAATAAGACCACTGGCTCGTTGTAAAATGTACGTTCCAACATCTTGAGTTCTATTGATTGAGTATTATATACCCTACTTTTGATCGACTTCAATGTCGGAGGAGTTTTCGTTGACCCGACTTAGTTCATGTGCTCTAGTTTTATAGGTTAGTGAGTCAGTTGCTCATTCGTGCGTGGTTAGATTATCTCCTCGCGTGCAGAGACTTGCCCAGTGTTCTCGTTTAATCCATCAAGATGAGTGATACAATATCAAATATAAACTAAGCACTGCAATTTATTGTATGAATATGTGTCATTCTAAAAAAAATGTTAATGGGTCAAACTCATTAAGATGTTTAATACAATATACATAATAGAGTTATTATTATCTCATAAAAACTCTATTAGCCTTAATTATAAATAGTTAATCCAACACATTATTTTAAGGTACACATTATTTTAACTGCTTAATATCTCTTGCGATCTTGTCAACTGTTTTTCTGCACCTGGCTGACTTAATTTCGAGCGTACATATACACGGGATGACAATGGTGCAGATACTGCAAAACTCGCACCTGCCCGCCCGATGGAGAATTTTTAAAAACCGTCGTACCCATTTCAATTGAGTAATTCATTCCCCGTTTTAAACTAACCGATACCTTCCTCGCTCAAATACCCGTAAGAAAATATGCATATGAAATATAATCAAATTCATACAATTAACCAAGATTCATATAATACTTAGTACTTACATTAAAAAAAAAATTAAAAACCAAACCCAAGTACTATAAAAGAAAATAAAAACAAAATCTCCACACACAAAACTTCCATCCAAAAAAATCATCAACAGAATTAAACCCAGAAAATTGCAACAACTTTTTTCTCAATCAAACAAATTATCATTATTAGGTGTTTTATTAGTGCTTGTATATAGCAAGAAATCTTCTTGCAAAATATTATTATTATTATTATTATTACCACTAGGCTTATTTTGATTAATAACAACCCTATCACCTTCAATCTCTCTATACCTACTCAAGTACCTCTTCAAAGCTCCACCATAATCGTCAAACCCTAGAGTTTGGAGAGCCGAGCAAATATCTTCGCCGTTGACCGTTTTTCGCCTCTCGTTTCGGCACTTCTCGGAGGCTTCGCTCGTCACGAATCCGATGAACTCGGACACACATTCCTGCATAGTCTCTTTGGCTTCTTTCGAGATCTTTGCATTGGATGGAAGAATCTGCTTCATTATTCTGCCGACGTTTGCTATCGGAAGAAGCATGTTGTCCGTCGTTGTTGACGACGATGAGCTGGCTCCTTCTGAATTAATGTTGTCCTCCATTCTTGGATTTTAATTTGGAGAAGCTGAGGTTGTTTGGTGTGTGTGTGTGTGTGTGTATAATATATATATTGGTCAAACTCAGGAATCTGCGTGTGCTTTTGTGTGTGTATAGATGTGTATAATATATATTTAATTATTTCTATGTACTATTTGTATTGGATGCTATTAGGGCAGATATAAATAAACTTAAAAAGCTTTTGAGTACTAATAAAGCTTGAAATAGTATTATTATTATAGAAAATATCGAATTTTTAATTATATCCGACTAATTAATTGTTTTTATTTTTATTTTATTTATTATTTTGATAAATTGAATTTAAGGTATATATCCTTGTTCCCTGATCCAAGGATTCAAAGCTAGATAGAGATTCTGTTATATCTCAACTATCTAATTGAGATTCTTGTGTTGTTTGTATTTTATTTTCGTAACCAGAATAATCATTAAATATTTAATTTAATTTATTTATTTATTTGCCACGTCAAAACTCCAATTTGAGCCAATCATCTGTTTGCCAATAATTCTTGGCAACTCATGTATTGAATCTTTCTAGAATTTATTTTTTTTAAATTTTGATTTTGCTGGATATTCTCCAACACACACACACACACACACACACACACACACACACACACACACTAGGTGGTGAATGTGGGACAATAATCTTGGTTCACTTATTTCTGTTCAAGATTTTCTACTACACCATGATTGCTTATGAAGCACTCGATATAATTAATTATGCACATATAAATATATAATTAATTAACTAATTAATGACAAGGACCTCCAATTACTTACAAAGTCAACTATCATGAACAAGACACAAGTTCAATAATGCAATTGAATATTGTTGATCCTGCAGTAATGAACTTAATTGACTATCAATCAAATTCATAGATTCTTTTTTTATGTGGGCTACAAAAATAAAGATTAATCTTATGTTACTATTTCAGTAACATACAAGTTAACTGCACTTTTGGAACACAATCCCGCCAGATTTTTACCATTCATATACACACAAACACACACCCACATTAGTGCGTGTAGATCAACGGTAAAAATTCACCACGAGTCTCTATGACTGTTTTTTATGTTCTGATCATAACTCTTTCATCCGAGCTTCGATTCATGTGATTCAAAATGATACCAAAATCCAACAAAGAGATCTACAAATTTTATATTTTTTGAACGAAAACTGATTCGTACAACAACATGGTCAAAATCGGGCTGCACGTGCACAACCAAGTATTCATTCACGGAATCAACTCTCTAAAAAAAGAATTCCATTATTTAATCCATGGAATCCTAATTAATTGCATATGAACAGTAACGAATATTCTCTTCTTGAGAACTCAAGAGGACAAAATTTCAAAGTAAAAAAATAATGTCGGCTTTTAATGAATCATGGTTCCCATGTTCCAAGGTCGTTGGACTCATCTACATAGGAATTTACTTTTAAATAATTAACAACTTGATTAACAGATGTCATTAACACACTAATCAAAGACTAAATACCGAACCCATTTAAAACAATGACTCCACGGTCGTCCCATTTGTCTTATTAACCACATGTTGTTAATTAATTTAATCAAATGAGATATCACTATTAATACAAGCCTGGAAATATAGATCAAGATTCAGACAACCAATATTTTCATTTTTTTAAGACTACAAGAATATTCCATGGGCCCACAACCCCTAAATTTTGTTTCTTCTAGGGCTTGGTCAACTAAGGTTTCACAAGTCCTTACAAGACTTGTTTGTTAGATGCTACCCGCTTTACACACACCCACATGTATGTGTGCGTGATTGTGTGTAGATTATAGTGCAAAACTACCCATCTACGAGACATCATAATCGACTAATTTTCGTAGCATCTCTATTCAGACACCCTCTAATTGGAAATATATAAACAACCGATTCAAGAAAGGAAGTAACTATAGGATATGACGAAAAGACAGTTATCAATCTGTTTTAGGGGACTCGTCATTTTCAGACACATACGAATTATCTTCCTCAACAACATCGTCAATTTCAGACTCTTCATTCTCTTGCACTTCATATGGATCACTACTAGGCTCTGTTGCGGAATTATTTACCTGATTGTCCGTACCTGATTGTACATTGTCTTTCGTTCTGATCTTGATGCGCTTACCTTTGATATATCGGTATTCCCATTTTGGTGGAGGGTACTTCTTCTTCAACTTTTCGCATTTGTCCAGCATGTCGAGCTTTTTGAAAACGTCTCCAACCATCGTAACAATTGGTACAGTTGGCCGAATACCAAGCTCTTCCATGTCAGCAAATATCTACAAGAAATATTAAATGTTGTCATAGTGAATCAAGAGACACGTTTTACAGATATGTGGTGCATGAACAGAGAAAATAATTAGGAAAAAGAGCCCCCGTTTTTCAAAAATTATCGGCGTGAGAGGATTTATAGCAGATCAGAATATGATTAGCAACAGAAATTGTCGTAAAAAAAATTCAGTCCAATGACGAGAAATTGAGATTAAAACTAATTTCTAATGTAGGTAAAAAGAATGAAAATCTTATATGCATAGACGATTATTGCTTGTTTGAATCTTAAATACAGATACAGTTGATATAAAGCAAGTCGGCTAAACGCAACTGCGTGACGTGATCATTTTAAACTATGATTCCATTCAAGACCACAAAACATTGGCATCAAGTGAAAAATTAAGTACTATAGTACAAGAAATTTCCTATTAGTTACATGAAGCATTTGTATTATTTATGAGATAAGGCAAGTGAAAAAGGGAATATACCTCGAACATCTTATCATGCATTTCTCTATGATAGTAGATAGAAATCATCCTATCAAAGAACATACGAGGCATACTTTCCAAGTTCTGAGAAAATAAAGTCCGCCACAGCTCTTCAGCCTCATCGATCCTTCCATCCTCAGCCAAAGCATTCAGCAAAGCGTAATAGCTTCCCATTGTTCTCCCTTGTCCTTTGCTTAGCATCCATTTTGTCACCTGTTTCGCGATTTTTTAATTGAATTAAATAATTCCAAATAAAAAAAAAAAGAAAAACGAAAGTGGAAAAATTATACCTGAATTATCCTCTTCCACTCCTTTTCAAACTCGAGGCTTTTTAAAGCTTTCTTCACTGTAACCAAGGGAAATTCTAATTCCCAAGCAATGAAGGAATCAAGTGCCCCGTATACTTCCTCTTTGACATTTGATAATCCCTTAATCTAAAAATCATCAACAAAAATAGAATCACTTATCGCGATTCAAGGTTGCCTATTGTCTACTGGCAAGGAAAGAAACCAATTCTAGATATATGTACTCGAAATCTTACACATTCAACGAGCTTGATGGACTTTGAAATCGTCCCTATCTTCCTTTGGGTTTTCCATACGCGAGGAGACCTTGGTCGAGGACCTCTAGCAGCACATCTCTGAGAAACATAAATAAATTAAACATGAATTAGACTTGGAATTATTTACGAATAAAAATTCAGCTGCTCCACTTCTCCTTGACAAACTTTCCAAAGATTTGATACAGTCCTAACAAATTTCATCTTCATCTTCTTGTAAATTCCACTTCACTAACACAAAGGTTGTAAGAAAGAAATGCTATAAGCGAAGATATACGTAGCTTACCACGAGACACTGATACCGGTTCTTCCCAAGTTCAACTGACTGCAATCCTATAGTAAGAGTCGCCACAGAGTGCACCAAACTCAGCATCTAAAACTACCCAAACAAAAGAGACACCATAAATAGGCAATAAATACACTAAAATGACCAAATTCGAACATCTAAATAGCTATTGAGAACACAAAAATCAAGCCGTTTGTACAAAACGACAGCAAATTCAGAAGCTGCGAGCAAGAAATTCGTGAATTTGAGTGGAACAAAAAATTAAGAAAAATAATGATTTTAAATATGTTAACTGAATCTCCGAGTACGAAACCGAGCTTTGCTTAGATTTGTTCATTTGCAGAACTAATTTTAAACTACATGTAATAAATAACAACGAATATGATTTTGTTACTATCGTCGAACAATTTTAGGGCACAGAAATTGGGAGAAATTTGTAGAGATAAACCCAGATATACCTGAGGTTCGACCAATTGAGCGCTACTTCTTTCCCAAATGTTAGTAGAGAGAGAGTGAGTGAAGATTTTTTCACTTTTGAAGCTCATTTCTAATACGTCGTCGTTATGGGAAGCTAATGATAACGTCTGCTTTTGCGATATTGTATTGGGCTGTGGCCCAATTATTTTTTATTGGGCCTTTACAACTTCAATTACTCCATTGATTTGGTTGTTATAAGGAAATCGGACGCATCGGATCTGAATTAGTCCTATCGAGAAAAATACAAATGAAAAGAATACTACAAGTGAAAAACTAATTTCAATTTGGTTTTAGAAACAAGAGGGAAAATCGAAAGTCGAATTTTAAAAGTTAAATAAAATAACTTGTTTCTAAATCAAGAATTTTCGCATCGAAATCGATGGAATTCAGAAATTTCCATTAATAGATCCATCGTATGACGGAAATTAGATGATACACTTGATGGATTTAAATCGTAAATCTACACATATGTGTATGTGTGTTTAGTGGATAATTATTTAATTAAGTTAACGATTCAAATCCACCTGATATAAATAACCAGATGTAACATCTAATTCGTCAGTCGTATAATTCATATATCAAAAACACAAGACAAGAACTTGTCCATTTTCTCCTTTTCAAGCCCCATCCACACATTAATCCCTTTCCCTTCACAACAACTCTTGTCATAGTCATAATCATAATCATAATCATAATCAGACAAGAAGAGAACAAACTCATCATTCCCACTAACAACCGGACCAACATGTCTAGGTTTCCCGAACCCGAAATCGACCTCCCCGAATGGAAGTTTCCACCATGCAGACGCGTAAAACCCGCCGCCGGAAGTCGCCGGAATCCCTTTATAAACCTCAAGCCAGTCTATCACGGACCTTACGTACTCGCTCGTCACTCTCTCTACCCCTTCCTTCACCATCCCCACGCCAAACGACAACGGCTTCTCGATCAAGTCGCGTGCTTTCGCGGTCGCGAAGCCTGTTACTACGGCGTTTCCGGTGAAAGAATTTAGTAGCGGCGGTGATATCTTATCCCTTATGTCAACTGCAAAGAGAACCCTTGATTCTTGATCTTGATCTTTGTGGTTGAAATTTGCTTTTGTTCTCGCTTTCCAAATGTGGGCTAAGATCGCGTCGAAAGTCGAGCATTTGACGGTGGATTTTTGTTTGAGTTTTTTGAGCATTTCCGAGGTGAAAGAGAAGAGTTTGTGTTTGTACTTGTCGGAGAAGATTAGTGGAGAAGGAGATGTTCTTTCTCGGGAGGTAAACGATGAGGCGATCGATCGCGACGAGGTTTTAGTAGTAGGGTTTACGTATTCGTTGTGTGGGAAGTGGATTTGAGGTGGAGTTCTTGCTCTTATGCATGTTCTGTCATTGTTGATGATGTTTGGTTTTAGAGCTTCTCCTCTGCATATCGACGCGAGATTGTTGAACATTTCGCTTGCTGATTTTCCGTCGAGAATCGCGTGGTTTGTCATGAATCCTAGTGCGAATCCACCGCATTCGAACCTTGTTACCTGTAGTAAAATCGTCAAAATAAAAATAAAAATTAGAAGCCCTTAAAAAAGGGTTCAAACTAGGGGTGGAAATTGGAATTAGTACTATCGGAATTTTCCCGGTTTTTTTGGAAGTGAAAAATTGATTCCAATTATGTTCCAAATAAAATTGGGAAAATTGAAAATCGGAATTTAGAAAATCAGAATATACATTTTGAAATCAGAATCGGCGGAATTCGGAAAATTCAATATTTTTTTAGTCGACTAAAATATAAAATACATATAATATTGTTATTATAAGTGTACTTTCGAAAATAAAAGCCAGATCGGAAACCATAATCTCATATATATTCCATCCGATTCAAAAAAAATTGGAAAAATTGGAACCGGAATTTTCATAATTTCGAATTAAAAAATATTCCAAAATCGGAATGAAATTAGCGGAAATCGGAAATTCCACAACGTCCACCCTATAGTTCAAAACTTAAGAAACTCAATTTCAAGTGACAAGAAAAACAAAATAAAACATATTGCCTGAATAGTGAAAACTGCAGTTTCAGCAAGGCTTTTTTGGTACAGCCCTTGTCGATGAACCAAGCGATGAAAACTCGGATTAGGCTGAGAAAGACTGCCGAGATCATCGACCGAAAATCTCGATTCCGCACTAACAAACAAGGCGCCTGCATTGTTGCATATAAGCTCAAGTCTCTTAGTGTCACCATTAAAGTTGAGTCTCCCAGCCATGAAATAGTATGGTATCAAAAGCACTTTTTCAACAGCTTTTCTAACCCTTTCAGCTATATCAGCTGTTGAAGAAGAGGGCATGTTTGGTGGAACTTTATAGAAGAAAACTGTTTCAACTGGAAAACTTAGTGTTTGGTCAATGTTTGATAGGAATATTGTTTTTATTGGCTTTGGATTTGATGGAGAGAATAGTGAAATTGGCTCTTCTTTCATTAAATCTTGCTCTACTAGTGAGGAGATAGTGTAGTTAACCATGGTTAATAGTGTATAGTGTGTTCTTATTAGATTTGAAATGTGTGTGTGTTTTTTTTATAGATACTACAAGTATATATAATGTGAATGTGAAAAGTATGAATGCAATATTTTTTATTTTTTTATTTGGTTGAAATGAGTTAGCATCCATGGTTCATGATATCTAAAATGTAGGCCATGAGATTGTTATTTCTTTTATTTCAAATGTGTAATTAAGTAGGGCAAATTACGGCCACGTTTTGAGGTAAGTTCTAATTACAAAAAAAATTCTTATATTTAAATAATTACAACTACCTCTATCTTGAGGTAAGTTCAAATTACAAAAAAAATCCTTATATTTAGATAATTACAACTACCTTCTCAGTTATGTATTGTCTTTCGAAAAAGCTCCTCATTCAGTTAGTAATTTTGACATCGTAAGGGTGAATACGTAAGACAATATATAGTTGAGGGTTTTTTTCGAAAGACAATACATAGTTGATGGGTGGTTATAATTATCCAAACATAAGAGGTTTATTCGTAATTTAACATACTTAGAGGTGCCCGTAATTTGCCCAACATATAAATATAAAATATTTGTTTAAAATATACATTAAAAAAAAGTTTGGACTAAACATAAAATATTTGTTTAAATTATATAATGAACTCGATTTGATTTGTTTAAGCCCCTAATCACACAAAGCCACATATAAATATTTAATATATTACACCCTAAAGCACACTACACAGGAGATGCAAAAAAAATAGGGAAACACATAGAAATGAATAAAAGAAATGACAATTTCATGACTACATTTTAGATTCATTAAACAATTCAATCAGAGCACAAAAAACTCTCAATGATAACGGATTAGTGAAGGTGCGAAGGAATACGCAACCAACCATTTATATAGGAGTGCTCATTCAGTAATATCAACTCGTACCGAAAATTGAATCGAGCGTAGTTTGATAAACAATTCAATCGAGCTCGAACGAGCTTCAATCGAATCGAACACTGATCGAGCTCGAATTACTTGATTTTTAAACATATGCTGTAATTCTAGTGTTGTCTGTCCGTTTTATAAATTGAACTCGAACTTGAATTCGAGCCGAATTTCGTAGTTTATCGAGCGAAAGGATAAGTTCAAGTTTGACTTATTATACGAACAAATCAAATTCAAATTAGGAACAATCTATAAACTAGGTATCCAATAATTTTGTTTGAGTTTCATCTCATATGAATGGCCCGGCCCAATTGAAAAAAGCCCATTAAAGAAAACCATACGTGGAACGTGGAAGCCCGACTCTCACACTTCGGCTACCAAACTCCAAAACCTTCAATTTTTCTGGAAAGAATCTTCAAAAGTTTCCCAAATTAGTCGGTTCTTCCAGATTTCATCGGAATCCGATTGGGATGTATTTCAGGGAGAGAATGTAATTTTTGGGGTGATAAAGAAATTTGGAAGAAAACGAGGGACGTTCATTTTGAATTTTGATAAATAATGGGTCAGGCATTTCGTCGAGCAAGTGGTAGGATCGGTAGCTCCAGAGCCGATACGAAGTCGCAGCTCGCCAAACCCGTTGAACAGAGGCCTCCGCCGCCGCCGCCTCTTCCCGTTGACAAACTCCCCGCTGATGACGTCACTCCTGCCTCCGGTAATTTTACCTTTTTATTTTACATTTCTGTTCATTTGATTTATAACAATTTTTTCTTTCTTCTTAATCTGCAAAGTCGATTTTTTTTAGCCCAAGTAGAATTTTGTTGCAACTTGCTGTGAAGATGCTTAGATGCTGTTTAATCATTCGTTTGTGAATCGAGATATATTGTTGTTCATACATATAAAAAATTGCTGTTGTAATTTATGTTTTCATTTTTATGAACTCTTATTTTGTAGAAGATGCATCATCAAGAGTAAACGTGGAAAATGTCTCCGAGGAACGCGATCCGCAATACGATGCTATGCTTAGCCAAATGGTGGGTAGAATTCAATCAAAGGCTGGAGGGAAACTCGAGATGGGCGAGGTACTATTCATAACCTCGTTATTTAAACGTTTTCTACTAGTTTATTAAGATTATCGTAAACTAAGATTGCGTATCAAAATCGAGAAGTTGGCCTCATAGCATCATTTAAAATGCTAATCTACGACCCATTCATTATGCGACACCTTATTTTTCTATTTCGATTGCCTCTTATCTTAAGTAATGAACCAAGAAAAGGTTAAAATAATTCTTTTTCAACATATGGTTGGGTTCTTACCAACTTATACTCGTGCGTCGTTGCCTATCATACAAGAAATTTGAATGGCATGATAAAATCATTCAACTTAGTGTATACGAAAATTAATAAATTTAGTGTGTATAAGAGCCGATTCTAAGAGCCGATTCTATTCGTACCGGTTGTATTGTAAATTAAGAATACAATCATGACAAGAGTTGAGTTTAAAACCGAATACATTTTTATTATAAAAAATTCCTAACGTGATCGATGTCTTACATATTCATTTTACTAGTTTATACACATGTATGATATATATTTGAATATGTGTTACTGTAGCTGGTCTTTGAAAACTGATCTGAGCCGACTAATCGAGCGTAACGCAATTATTCGTTCGATAGAATTGAGTTTTATAATATATTGTGTTCATAGGTTCTGTTACTGTAGTAGGCCTTTAAATATGCCATTGAAAGAACTGTATCTATATTGCTTCTTCGAGTTACTTTCCAGCAAGCCAAGTTATATAACACTGCTTCGAGACAGTCACTTTTATACTGTAATGATTTGTCATATCTAGCCAGTCAATTGTATTCGGAAAAAAATATTATATTCTCGGACTTTTTCGACAGGCTTCGGTGGTGGATAAGTACAGAAGGCCTTTACCGAAAGTAAGAAATACAACACCAGAATCTGGTGGATACGAAGAGAGGCCTGCGCCCCCTGGAACTCTGAATGTTTCACAAATACGTCAAGTTATTTTACTGCACCAAGGCAAGTCTGATGAGCATAATGGTGCTATGAGTGTTGCTCAAATTGCACAAAGATTCCGATTAGATGCTGCGCAGGTTGAGAATATCATCCAGTTTGTAACTCTACCCCCCGAAGATGCAAGTAAGAAGAATAACAATCAAGAATGATCGGTGCTCTTTTTTTTTTTTTTTTTTTAAGCTTCACTGATGAAGTGTTTGTGTTGAGGAATACATTTTGTAGTGACAAGAATACTTGGAAGTTGTACCTTGGATCGTTTTCGGTGTTAGTTAGGATACTTTGTTATAGAATTCTGTAATGGTTCTTTCTGTTTTTTCGGTTCCCGTGTAATTCATTTTTTTATCCGTTATTGTTATCGAAAAGTCTAATTAATTACTGATCTTCTAGAGAGGATTATTGCCAGTTGAAAGCTATTTGGAATTTAGACACATGTTTCACATTTTGCAGGAACTTCATATAAAAATGCCACAGGCTATAGTAGTGCAGAATTGAATTATACATTTTTATTATAAAACTGTACATTTTAAGATAAAATCAAATGGCGAAAAATTGTATAATCACAGAACAATTGTGATGAATCCATTCCAATGTGGATGGTATATTTGATAATTGCGATAAAATTTCATTGCGATATGGATACCAACCAACTAAACGTAAACTCGTAAGCAACAAACGTGACTGCACTAGCGGGACCCGCTTTGACAATCGATGGTACAATGCCTTTATAAAGACCAGCCCAACTTTCCGTATGCAGAATTTGACGAATTGCATCATACATATTTCTGTAAGAACCAGGCTCTACTCGAGCTCCATATCTGTGATCCCTTTTCAGTCCTTCGACCTAAAAATAATATTTTTTGTTAGTTAGATCAGATTATACATTGGACCAAATAGTCAACGATTATTACATTGATGGACAAACGATGTACGATAATTGGAGACCTGAAATCTCTTCTTTACTACGTCGAGTGGATGACAAACGGCTTTAGCAGAAACTCCTGCAGCTAATCCGCATAGCGAAACTTGTAAGTTTGAGAGGGCATTAATGTCACCTTGGATTGTGTGAGGAGATCTGTACTGATTCCAAGCCTGTAAGAATGAGAAACAACGTCAAATCAAGACTAACGCGCATAAAATGCTCGATGTTTTCATTCTGTATGTGCATTTAAAGTAGCAAAAATTGGCAATATTAGGCATATATAACTGTAAATATTGACAAGTCGCAAAATAGACTCACCATAAACCAACGTTTAAAAGTGTCGTAGGTTCCGAATTGCAATCCGGCATAAGGTATTATTTCCACTAGGGTTGGTGTCAATCCACCATACAGACCTCGGATGCCACGGCTTTGGAGTAGGTGAACAAATGCAGACCTCATATTTGGATAAACCTGAATATAGACAAACACCTTATTTCTACATTCCTTTTTCAGTTTTATGGATCTCAAATGAAGTATAAAAATCCAATAATAATAATCAGACAAATGAACGCATATATAAGTTTCACCAGCAACTGTATATAAGCAACAAATTAGAAGGCAAAAGTGTTGCACAATTTTTGCCCACATTCTGCACCAAGAACTGCGCATTAAAAAGAAAAAAAAGAAAAAGAAAACAAAGGCCAGAAATATAGCTCAAAAGCAGCGCAGTGATTTTCTTCCAACTAAAAAAATGATGCTTTATAATCAATTTATACTGCAATATTCAAACATAATAATCCAAAAACGAATAATGCTGCTTAGTTGCACGAGTAATAATACACACCTTTGGCTCCCCCTGTGATGCTAAAATGGTTCTTAGGAGATCAAATGGGTATGTTCCAATAGTGGCGGCACAGCCTGCTACTGAGCCACTAGCAAAAGAAATATACGGACTTACATGGGTATGGTCTTCTGCAGAAAGAAACGAGAACACATAAATATCATAAATAAAGGTCAACATTTTCAAGGGAAAGAATTTCAAATCTACATAATTAATTCAAGAGACAAGTTTTTAGTTTGAGACGTAGATGTAAATATCTCGACAAAATAGATTTGGCATTTGCATTATCTTTTTTCAGTTGTTCTATCTCTATCCAAGACTAGACAGCGCCACTATAGTTATATTCAGCCTTATTCATCGACGAAAGATATTAAAGAAGGCATAATTTACAGGATACCATACTTAGCCATACACAATCGACGAACCTGATTTAGAAGAACCAGAAACTAAGGTCTTCAACTTTTGCAAAACTACAAATTGTATTGCTGTATATGGCATTACCATAAGCAGGGCTGGCACATTTCCCCTCCAAAACCCCTGTTTCAAAAAAATAAATAAATGAATTGGATCGAAAAAAAATAGCAGCAGAAAACATATCCAAATAAAAGCCCCTCCTATATCATTACCAGTAAGCCTTCATCCCGAAAGATTTCCTTGCTTGCCTGCAGCATACCCGTATATTTTGATGGACTGTACACATTTTTATGAAACAAAGGCCACTGTGTAGTGGGTTCTAGCTGAACCTGCATATGGTAATAATAACATCAACACATAAATTCACTACTCTTCATTTATAAGATTGTGAACTCATATAAAAACACACGTGCGATATATCATTTAAATCGTGATAACTCAGAAGAATCTAATCACTTATATCAATGTTTTTGGTATTCTTTCAACGCACGAACACGTGGATAGATACCATCATCATAATAGTTATTGACGACTCCAATCAAATACGCCAAAGTAACATATCAAACACCGAACGGATTACCCTGATTGGTTCACTAACCGGTTTTTTTTTTTCTTTCTATTTACTATTTATCTACTATGTCGGCCTATCCGAGTAATCAACATTCAACGCAACGAATATAGTGGCTTCTAACAAAAATCACCTTCTTAAACCAGCACATTCAAAGCCACTTCCATCTACCCATCCTTTCACAAAGAATTACAGTTTAAAAATTCTAAACAGTGATAAATTCAGAAGAACATAATGCTTGCAGAAATAAAGCAATCTAAAATTACTTATATATCCTAACATGAAACATCCGATCCAGCGATGCATTTACCTCGAAATAGAACATATAAATTCAAATTGTTTTTTTTTTACCTGAAACCTAATTTTGATTACATCAAGTGGAGATACGATGGTTCTGGAAACGGCGCCGGAGATCGCACCGGCGGTGGCATCAATCAAAGCTCTCTTCATCTGCTTTGTACCCTCCATTATTCTTCTTCTTCTTCAGCAATCAGCACACCACAAAAACCTGCAACAAAGCCAAAATTTCCAACGTGTACCACTCATTTTCACCCATTCCATTGTCGATACCAAAAGCCAGATCGACATCGTCTATGAACCAAGGAAATTGACAAAAAAAAAAAAAAAATCATATGGTAAATGCAAGTTGGAATTCTTTTACTAGAAAGTGACATTTGCCAAAGTTAAACAAATTTTGAATTAAAAAAATCATATGGTAAATGCAAGTTGGGATTCTTGTTATGTTAGTTAAAAGTCAATTTAGCTTGGTCTTTGTTAATAAATTATTAAACAAATTTGAATATAATATTTAATTCGATAAGTTGTAAAGATTGGTTCAAACTCGAGCTCACTAAAAAATAAATAAATTATTGTATGTTTTTTTTTATTAATATATTAATTAGAAGTAGTGTTAGAGTTAACTGAGCTGTCGCCAAAAGATACAAAGTGAATTGAATGCGGTGGTACGGCGAAAGAAAGTAGAGAGAGATCATAAGAGAATTAAGGTCGAGAAGTGAGGCGGTCGGAGAGGTTTAAGTACCTCTCACATAGAAGGTAAATTACGGTTACACCTAAGTTAAGTTCATATTACGAAAAATTCTTCTTACACGCTCAGTCTTACTGTGTCAAATTCAACATAATCTTCTGGATTTCGTGGAGTGTTCTCTAGTTTGTACTGGTTTTGTGCAAAAATGCAGTTATGATGCACCACAATCTGATATTTACAAATTAACCAAAAGATACGTCTTATGATCATTTTGTCGCAAAATGTGGAGTTCAAATACGGTAAAATCTGACAGATTCCAACAAATTTAACACTGCAAGTGTTGACGTGTAAGTGGTGATTCATAGTGGGGAAACTACAGATAAATCCCTAATCCAAAACTCAACACACAGATCAGTCCCTAGGTAGTTTCCCCAAGCAATTCAGTCCCTATTCACGCGTCTGACATGCAGTTCAGTCCCTAATGTGAATTTTATATATTTTATTATATTCTCTCTCTTCTTTTTCACTCTCACCCTTTTCTCTCTCTTCTTTTTCTCTCTCTTCATCTTCTCTTTCTTTCTTCTCTTTCTTCTCTGTTTCTACTGCTCTCTTTCTTCTCTATTTCTTCTCTCTTTCTCTCCTCTGGTTTCCTCTTTTTCCGACGAAAAAATCACTGTAAAACCCACCCACCCCACAATGGTTTCGAATCCCGGAAGGTTATTTTACTGTTGCCCACACCATGGCTACTCCCATTGGTGTGAACCATTTGAAGTTGGGCAAACTTTTTCCAACTCAAATCGTGAAGAAAATGAAGCTACAAGTGCGTCGATGAACCAAGTCCATCAAGAAAGTGAAGTGAATAATTGCAATTCTGAAGGTGGAGTAGTTCATAGTTTGATAGTGTTGAATCTAGTAATATTTGCAGTCTACATGCTATGTAAAACCTATGTACTGTTGTTTAATTAGTGAACATAAGAGTACAATGTATAAGCTGGTAAAGTTTGGGTTATTCGTGAATATAGTACGCTTTGTCCACCAAATAAGTACAATGTATAAGCTGGTAAAGTTCGGGTTATTCGTGAATATAGTACGCTTTGTTCACCAAATAAGTACAATGTATAAGCTGGTAAAGTTTGGGTTATTCGTGAATATAGTACGTTTTGTTCATCAACTAAGTACAATGAATACACATGTGAAGTACAAGTGATTCGTGACTATAGTACGATTTGTTCACTGATAAAGTATATGTTTGCCATTTATATAGTATTGTTACAGTCTATATATTATTGTCGGTCCAATGCATCCATATGATCGCATTTTAAGACACAACTCTTCATTTTAAGACTATTAAGAATGAATGGAGACAATGTGGGAGTTGATCAATATCGATTATGGTAACAATTGGAAAAAAAAAAAAAAAAAAACAATTGAAGAAAATATTAGTTTTACACTTGAGCATTGTAGACTTGTAAGAATATATTGTATAGTATATGAGTATCATGTATGAAATTCAACATATTTATAGGATCTTGTATTCCAAACGCAACAATAATTCTCACCTACCTTAAAATAACCATCTAAAACATAATTTATGCATCTCCAGTACTTATTGATCATTAAAGCGTCAATGAAATTGGTACAATGCAATTCATCAAAAAATATGGTATGCTTTGTTCATCAAGTAAGTACAATGAATACACTTGTGAAGTACAAGTGATTCGTGACTATAGAACGATTTGTTCACTGATAAAGTATATGTTTGCCATTCATATAGTATTGTTACAGTCTATTTATTATTGTCGGGCCAATGCATCCATATGATCGCATTTTAAGACACAACTCTTCAGTTTAAGACTATTAAGAATGAATGGAGACAATGTGGGAGTTGATCAATATCGATTATGGTAACAATTGAAGAAAATATTAGTTTTACACTTGAGCATTGTAGACTTGTATGAATATATTGTATAGTATATGAGTATCATGTATGAAATTCAACATATTTATGGGATCTTGTATTCCAAACGTAACAATAATTCTCACCTACCTTAAAATAACCATCTAAAACATAATTTATGCATCTCCCGTACTTATTGATCATTAAAGCGTCAATGAAATTGGTACAATTCAATTCATCAAAAAATATGGTACGCTTTGTTCATCAAGTAAGTACCATGAATACAGTTGTGAAGTACAAGTGATTCGTGACTATAGTACGATTTGTTCACTGATAAAGTATATGTTTGCCATTCATATAGTATTGTTACAGTCTATATATTATTGTCGGGCCAATGCATCCATATGATCGCATTTTAAGACACAACTCTTCATTTTAAGACTATTAAGAATGAATGGAGACAATGAGGAAGTTGATCAATATCGATTATGGTAACAATTGAAGAAAATATTAGTTTTACACTTGAGCATTGTAGACTTGTATGAATATATTGTATAGTATATGAGTATCATGTATGAAATTCAACATATTTATGGGATCTTGTATCCAAACGCAACAATAATTCTCACCTACCTTAAAATAACCATCGAAAACATAATTTATGCATCTCCCGTACTTATTGATCATTAAAGCGTCAATGAAATTGGTACAATTCAATTCATCAAAAAATATGGTACGCTTTGATCATTGACTGCAATCTTCTTTTACATCAATTCCTGCAATTACCTACACATAAAACTACAATTATAACAAATACAACGTACTATAAAGTTCCACATGTCAATATCATCCAAAGTTACTAGTAATACCATTCAAAGGCACTAGTAATACTATTATGGCATATGACTTATACTACAGGACCATCAAACATTATACTTCTAGTACCATATGTCAATACCATCCAAAGTCACTAGTAATACCATTCAAAGGCACTAGTAATACTATTATGGCATATGACTTATACTTCAGGAGCATCAAACATTATACTTCTAGTACCATATGTCAATACCATCCAAAGTCACTAGTAATACCATTCAAATGCACTAGTAATACTATTGTGGCATATGACACATACTACAGAACCATCAAAGATTATACTTCCAGTACCCTGTGCTAATACCGTCCGAAGTCAAGAGCAATACCATTATTACATATGGCATATCCCTTGTTGGGACTAAATGCTTTCGGGACAGTACTTCGAGTACCCTGTGTCAATACCATCTAAATGCACTATTAATACCATTACTGTCCATGACACATATTATAGAACCAGTACGAAAAATACAATAAGCCTCTTTCCCATATCCTATATGAAACCCTTGCTAAGACTCAAAATACTTTGGGGACATGCTAATGTCACCGAAGAATAATACCCATGAGGAAACTGTTACAAAATCATGAAATTCGACAACAAATAAATGATCTTTGCAAATCCAAACAACAGAAAAACAGATATTGGAACCGATTTAATGATTAGGGAAAACACCGAATAAAGTCGAGGCATAATACCCATGAGAGGATATGTTCAAAATCATGCAATTCTACAAAAAATAAACTTTTTTGCAAGCTTAAGCAACACCCAAATGGGTCTGTTTCCAAGAAAATGAAAGAAAAAAAAAATCAAACCTTGTTGTTTACCCTGCTTCTCCATTGTCGAGAAATGGGTTTGTTTATTTTTATTTTTCCTTTCGTTGTATAATTTTTCTGCGTTTTGTTGATTCTTCGTGCTTCGTTATTTCTTCCTTCTTTGTTGTTTCTTTGTTCTTCGTTTCTTCTCCGTTTCTTCTTTGTCTGTAAATGGGTGTAAACTGAACGGTGGTTTTTTTCCTGCGCCTTTTTAGCTTCTTTCTTGTTGTTTGATTTTTGAAATGTAACGGGCAAAGAGCGTGTAACACAAACGGCGCGTTGGAGGTTGGAAATAAGTTATGTAAAATTAGTATAAAGTAAAGGGTATTTTAGTATTTGCATATTTTATTAGGGACTGAACTGCATGTTAGGCGCGTGAGTAGGGACTGAATTGCTTGGGGAAACTACCTAAGGACTGATATGTGTGTTGAGTTTTGGATTAGGGATTTATCTGTAGTTTCCCCATTCATAGTTGATAGACTGTAATTATCCAAACATAAAAAAATATTTCCTAATTTACCTAAAACAAAAGGTTGTACTTTGGAGTATTATAACTTATAATTTCAAACATGTATCACAAATAAAATAAAATTTATTAATTTTGGTACATAAAAAAAAAAAAAAAAAACTCAATTATACGAAAATAAATAGAAATAATAGATAATACCAAATACGACAACAAAATGTCTTACCTGGGATCGTACACTACGGTACCGGCGAGTACAGTGGAAAAGCAAAATGGCTCTTTATTTTCAAGAATTTACCTTTATTCACACACACACACACACACACACAGATGTGTGTTTGTGCGTGTATATATACACTACTTTTTGTATGTATGTATGTATGCAGTGCACACACACAATCAGGGTTTATCAAGGGTTTTGGCCTGCAGCAACTTGAATAGAGAAATATTCCAAGAACTGCAGTCGTCTATAGGTGTGTGTTTATTTTCTCCTCAGTATTTTCTTTTTAATTTCTTTCTTATTAATATTATTAAATAATGAATATTTGATTAGCTGATTATTGTTTATCCTCTCTCTTATCTATTTTTTATTTTTATTTTTAAATGATTGCTTTAGAGATGAAGAAAAAGAAAAGATGGGTTATGGGTTTTTTTTAATAAGAAAAATTGTTGCTAGAGTTTTTATTTTTTATTTATTTATTTTTTTTAAATAAAGAACAAGAACTACTGTATAGTGTGTATAGGTTCTATGTGGGATGATGTTGATTTTTTTTTTTTTTTATAACTGAAAGATGGATATGGGATTTTTTGGTAGGAAAAAACTCATTAAAGGCTGTTGTAAAGCATTTAAGTTTCTGTGGGATGTAATTGCAATTTTTAACAGAATACTTATGTACATACACTTGCCTGAAAATGCTCTGCTGCTGTATTGTAGTTTGAAAAATATGAAATCCCTTTTAATTTGGTGTACACTTGTTGTTTGCTTAGTGCAATTCTGCAAAAAAACACACACACACACACAGATGGTAATATGTCCATGTATCATAATTCTTATCGCCACGCGGTATTTGTACTAAATGTATTCATATTCGACGATTCGAGTAGGATTTCGAGCGAAATATAACTTTACAAACCATAAAGAATATTGTCTTGAAAATGCATTAAAGAGAAGGGCATTTTGTTTTGCTTTTCGAAGATATGGGATATGGAGAAATTAAGGATATAGAGATTGCTTCGATGGACTTATACACCACGGTAAAATCAAGAACATCTAATGCGAAAAGGCGTAACACCAAATACGGTTGCATCGAATCAGCTGCCCCAAGATTCTGCAAATCCAGACGAAAAAACCAAATCGCACTCCACATTGCCAAAAAGGAAAATATAAATAAAAGCCGCAGATTAATGTGGTTGCTCGAAGCCACAAAATTCGACCACCACCGAGAAAGCACGAGCGAAACGGGCCCTAGACCCCCCCACCACCACCACGACGAAAAGGGTGTTACAATCGAAGATTCTTCTAATTGGTCGGATTTATCAGCCGAAGAGACCGCTCTAGAAATGCTTAGATCAATGAGTAAAGAGCGATCGGAGAAATTAGGTTATCGTGGTTTCAAATTAGGGGAACTCGTTTGGGGAAGAATCGGCACGCATCCATGGTGGCCTGGCAAAATACTCGACGAATCTTTAGCCAATTTATTGGTTATTTTAAATAAGAAAGAGGGTTGTGTCCTTGTGGCGTTTTTCGGCGACGACAGTTTTGGATGGCTCGATCCGAAAGATATAGTTCCATTCGAGCCTCACTTTGAGAAGAAATCGAAGCAGTCGCAAATACCAAAGTTCTTGATCGGCGTGGAAGAGGCTTTAATCGAGATCCAGAAAAGATCGGCTCTTGGATTGACTTGTACGTGTCATAGATCTTCTACCTTTAAGCCGCATCGAGTTCGAGGGTTTCTTGATGTTAGTTTGGACGGTTATACGGGTGAGAGTATCTATTCGATTGATCAAATTAAGGATGCGAGAAAGGGTTTTGATGGTCGTAAAATGTTGTCTTTCTTGCAAGAATTGGCTTTGAGGCCTAATAGTTATATTGGTAACGGTGCTCGAAAGAATTTTGGTCGGATGAAGAATGTGGCTAGCGTTCTTGCTTATCGTAACGCGGTATACGAAGGAGTATCTTGTGAGAATATTCTCGCCAAAGATTTTGGTAAAAAAGCTATGGATGATGACTTACATGATGTTTATATTTCGTATGAAGGTACGATTGCTTAGTTTTGTTGAATTAAATTGTCTTTAACTTTGCGTTTTAATTATACAATGTAAATTGAGTCGAGAACTAAATCCTTGTTGAATTTATATCCGACTTTGCTAATTCGAGGATAATTACTCTGTTTTTTATGAAGATGTATCGAAGATTTGATTCTTGAAATGGAGCATATAACTCAAGTGAGATCGTAATTAGAAAATCGATCTTTCGGGGTTTTTTTTTTGAATTATATTTGTTCGATATGCTATTCCATTTAAAGGTTCATTAGGGTTCTCCTTTTATGTTTGCTTGCTTGCATTGTTTAGACGGTGTTTTGTAACGTTTTTCTCGTTGCATTTTATCGAGTAACTACTCTTGAATATATTTTTCAGCTCCGAAATCCGGGACTCGAAACACTAACAAGAGAAAGAGCATTGTTTCTCGATACTCCGAGGAGACGACAGATACGAAAAGAAAAGGGAAAATGGAGATCAAATCCACACAAGAAAACGTAGCAGCTCAAGAAACGCAGCGCTCTTCTAACAAAGGGCAAAAATCTCCGCTCCAAAACAATGATAATGAAAAGACGACGATGATTATCCAGTTTCCTCCTCAAGGAAGATTGCCTTCTACTTCGGAGCTTAAAGCCAAATTCGCTCGTTTCGGACCGTTTTACGAGCCCGGTATTAAATTATTTTGGAAGTCTTCGACTTGTCAAGTTGTGTTTATGTGCAGATCGAAAGCAGAGGCGGCTTATAATCATGCGGTTCAAAATAGTCCCTTGTTTGGCGAGTCGGAGGCCGTTTACTACTTATTACCCTCGGAAGGTTCGGTTTCTGAGAAGCTTCCGGAAGCTTCTGGTTCTTCATGCAGATAGATTCAAAGATGGTACATCATGCATATATACATATACATATATGTATATATATATGGGAGATTTTATTTGCAACTATTTATAGCTTATATTATAGATGAGAAGTGACAATGGTGTTGGAATGGTTATGGTGCTTTAATTATTTAGAACTATTTAATTATTAGACTTTGTTGATTGGGAAACTTCTAATTTGTGAGGTTAATCATTTGTTATTTATATATTCAATTATTTTGGATTAAATTGTTTATTATTTAATTTTTTTTAATATTTATATATCTCAAATATTTTTTAGATGTGAAAGAAGTGGTGGGATATATGTGGAAATATTAAAAGACTTCTAGAAAGGTTTAATTGTCTGCAGATTCTACCTTTTCTCTTGGGGAAGGAGTCCTCTCTCTTTCTTTCATTTTCATTTTTTTTTTTATTTATATATTAATTTTATTTATTTATTTTTTATATTATTTATTGAAGTCAACGGGAAAGAGTAATTTTCTTGTCAAATTTTCAGAAGTCCAGCAAATACTATTTTCTTTCTTTACTTTGAGTGCAAAGTTGACCCGAAATCATATGCTACACCAAGTTATTTACGTTGAGTATTTATTAATCGTAGATGAGGTTAAATAATCAGTAACTAATCACATATACAAATGTGTATGTGTGATTATGTGTAAATTTACACTTAACAATCACCGGTGTGCAAACCGATTTTACTTTTGGATATTTTGTTATGTTTGAATTTTTTTTTTTAATTTTTTTAATTGGCAGAAACATAGATGAAATATCGATAATTCATCTGTTGTTAACCAAAATTGATTTAATTATATTTTAATAGTTGGTTTAGATTACTAATTAATATGCCTCAAAAATCTTACCATGGTCCATGAATCATGGTTAAGACTGCTAACCATGGTTAATTACTTGTATATTATTATAACCTCAAAACCAAACGTTGAGTTCAAGCTAAGACCACTCTCTCTCTCTCTCTCTCTCTCTCTCTCTCTCTCTCTTGTTTATCGATCATAAGAATGGAGAATCGAACTCTGGAAATCACAATTCAAAATGCCAAGGATTTGAAAAAAGTCAACCTTATTACGAAGATGGATGCGTACGTCGTCGTTTCCATCTCCGGCGGGGATAAAAAGTGGAGGCAGAGGACCAAAACTCCGGTTGATCACGACGGCGACGCTAATCCGACGTGGAATTTTCCGATGAAGTTCACGGTGGAGGAGGCGGCGCTGCAGCAGAACCGCCTCATAATCGATTTCAATCTCGTATGCCAGAGGGCTTTAGGAGACAAAGACATTGGCGAAGTCCACGTGCCGATTAAGGAGCTCCTCGATACTCCGGCGAAGGGCGGCGCCGCCGCCGCGGGGAAGAGATTCGTGAGCTACCAAGTGAAGAAACCCAGTGGGAAGCCCAAAGGCCAGCTTTCATTTTCGTACAAATTCAGCGAAGAAACCACCACCTCTGCTCCGCCTGCTTCGCCACCGCCGTCGCCGCCGCCGCCGGCGGAGATGGTGTTGGGAGAATCCGTGTCGTCGGCGTACCCAGCGGTGGGTCCCGGTTTGGAATACTCTCCGATGGCAGGATGGTACCCGCCGGATTCATCGTGCCCGACGACGACGGTGGCGGCGGATGGAGGTGGCGGATATTATCCACCACCAGTAGGATATGCGCCGGATAGTGATCCAACACCAGGGGGCTTTCCTCCGCCGCCTGTTTACGGCTACGCTCCCCCACCGCCTGGTTACGGGTATACACCGCCGCCTGTTTACGGCTACGCTCCCCCACCGCCTGGTTATGGGTATGATCCACCGCCGCCTGTTTACGGCTACACTCCTCCACCGCCTGGTTATGGGTATGATCCACCGCCGCCGCCGTCGATGCCTGATTATGGGTATACCCCACAGCCGGGGTATGGTTATCCGCCGCAGCCAGGTTATGGGAATCCCCACACAGTCCGGTTATAAAGGCTATCCGCCGCCGCCGGTGCAGAAAAATAATATTGGTATGGTTCTTGATCAGAGATATGATTTCCGACGGTTGTTTGTGGTGGTGATTTCAACTGTTGATAGAACTACATTTAAAAAAAAAAAAAAAAAAAAAAAAAAAAAGAACTACATTTTCTATATTTTTATGGAAAATATTATTATTATTATTATTATTATTATTATTATTATTATTATTATTATTATTATTATTATTAATTTACATTATTTTGTAGCTCTATTTTTTTTCCTCGGTCACAAAAGAAAGGGTAAATTAGTAATTAGTGGCTAGTTGTATGGTGGTGCGTGATGAATTCATAATTATTTAGGTAATTAACGAATTAAATTAAGTCAATGCATAGTTGGTTCAACAAATTAAACAACAGTTGCAAATTAAAAAGTACATTCTAGAGTGTTAACGACTAATTCACACGAATACAATAAACAATTCACAACAATTATAGTTTGACGGACCTTTTGCTTTTCTACTACGTTTACCATTCAACAATCCTTCATCAATCCAAAATTCACAATGAATAGGTGTGCTACAATGAAATTTAGTACGAATCTGATCGGATCGGAACAAGCACTTTCGGAATTTTTTTCTTCGAAAGTGAACCGTAATCGGAATGAAAAAGTTCGTTCCAAAATCGGAATTTTTTGAATTGGAATCGACAAAAATTGGAAAATTCCAATATTTTGTCGATTAAATATAAAATATATAATAATATTATAATATAAGTGTAACTTTCGAAACAAATTGGATTTTTCAGAATTATTTTTGAAAATTGCAACCTGATCGGATTTATGAAAATCAGAATGAAAGATATTGTTTGGATCATAATTGGTGGAAATCGGAAATTTTATTCTAATTTATACCCCTAAATGTATACATATGAAATAATTTCTAAAATTTAATGCTAGGTTAGGACCATTAGATTACTAATTCACATTATTTTGTAGCTCTACTTTTTTTCCATTCAACCACAATGCACAATAGAAGGGTAATTAGTGTTAGTGGTATGATGCGTGATGCATATAAACCTGAAAATAATTAATTCAAAATTATATACTTAATTAGCCAATTGGATTAAGTCAAAGCATATACCAAGTCACACTTGAAAATAAGATACAATCTAGAGTGATTAACAACTAATTCGTATGAATACAATAAACAATTCACAATTAAGGTTGATGGATATGTTTTTTGCTTTTATACTAAAGTGTGACATTGTAGTGGCATAAACTCCAATCAAGTATTTTCTTCAATAATAATGATAATAATAATAATAATAATAATAATAATAATAATAATAATAATAATAATAATAATAATAATAATAATAATAATAATAATAATAATAATAATAATAATAATAATAATAATAATAAGGGTAAATGAGGTATGATCAAATTACGAAAACTCCTCTCTTGTTTGGATAATTACACTCACCCCCTCAACTATAATCTTTTTACACGTCCACCCTCGCGGTTTTAAATTTAGTAGAAACTTCGAGATTATATGGAATATTATCACTTTTGTACCCGTTTTATCCATTCTAACTCCGCGTTTTTAAGCAAGATGATCATAATATGTATTTTTTGGCTTATATATATATATATATATATATATATATATATATATATATATATATATATATATATGTATATATATAGTGTATATATATAAAGTGTATTTTTACACAACACGAGTACAAACTAGAGCAGATTCCACGAAATGTAGATGATTATGTTGAATTTGACACCAAAAGGGTGGATGTATAAGAAAAAATTATAGTTGAGGGGTAGATATAATTATCTAAACAAGAAGGAGTTTTCTATAAATTAACCATACCTCAGTGATGATTGTAATTTACCCTAATAATGATAATAAATAATAATAATAATAAAGCTTTAAAATTTAAAACGTATTGAGGCAATCGAACCCTGGTCGTTAGAGAGAAATGTGGTATGAAACCACCAAAATACTAAAAAAATTGGATATGAATTTAAATAACGAATTTGGTAATTTTGGATCTTAGCTTATAAATACCAGAGTTTTGTTTTA